CTATATCCACTCTTTTTTTTCCCTCTGAACTTTCGGCAAGAACCCACATTTCATCACTTTCTCTTACATATATAGGAATAGTTATTATAGGAAGTTTTCTCTATACCTTTTTCATTGTACTTGATAATCATGTTTTCTCTTTAATTATCAACATGGATTAGTAAATTATCTCTCTCATTTCCTTTTAAAAACAAATTGGCACAGGTGTAGTCTCACCACCCCAGTGAAAGAAATGGACTCCAGAGTCACTCTAGATGATGATATAGTTTTAGTCCTCTGAAGCAGATTCTTTCAGATTACTCTCATATGTTTTGAAACTTTGTCTGAAGTTTTGAATAACAGACTCATTCCTGAAGAGGAGGGTGGAGAGTTATGTATCATTCTTTCACTCACAAGCTGCCTTCCAAATAGAATGAACACATTAAACTCAGATTAGTGAACTCAAGCACACATGTTACCTGCATAGGAATCTAAGTGAAGAACCAACCAACTAAAAAAATACTTGCCTAGCTATCAACAGCTGTACTTGTAGATAACTTCTCCTAGGAGGGATTAGAAGTCAGAAAATCATAATGATGAATGCTGTTTTAAGAATTAATCCAATGTGACTTTCTCAGTAAAGAGAAAATCTAAGAAGGATATAAAAACCTCTCAGTTTTCCTGACAACTGAAACTATCAGGTATCATAGCTCATAGAAAAATGTGTCTTTGAGATAGTTATATACTAATGTTTCTTAAAGCAGTTTGTATCTATATGAATAATACAGTTTCTCTTTAGATACAATTTTTTCACAAACACAGTCTCACCAAATATCAAATCACATCTTCCTTGTCTCTTCAAACCATATTCCTTTATGTGTTCTGGTAGAGATCATATCCAAAGCCAATGATAAATTTAGTAAAGTAATTTTTCAGTTTCTAGTCCTTTAAATACTTCTGTGTATATTTATATATATAGGTATTATATAGAGAGTGAGAGTTGTATAAACATATTATATAATATATATAACATATATGTTATATTTAAATATATATAGGTGGATATATATATATATATATAAATGTATATATGTTTAGGTACTACCTGATGTTTTAAATTACAGAACTGCTGAAAATATTACTTATTTAATAAACACTTATAATTGTGAAAATAAATTATGTGTGCAAGAGGAGTACCACAAAATAAGAAAAAATGCATACAAGTACACAACAATAAAATTTTTAGGCTGTTATTCTCTATGGGAAAAATAATTCAATGTTCATTTTTATAATAATTTATTGATGGCTTCAGAATTTGGTCCCATTTAATTATATTCACCATTTACAGCACAGTTTTCAAATGTAATGCAGACTGCATGGATTATTCTGCCTACATGCCTCTTGATCTTTTAGTTTTCCATTAATTGCAGCTCTGTGGTTTTTACTTCCTACCTGTTTTGTTGAGGAGACAATGGATTTCAGATGGTATAAAACAAGAAAGAGAGCAGGAAGAACATTGACCTGGATTAATAAGAATTGACTACCACCTGAAAGTTCAAAATACCAAGTCTCATGTGTAGAAATTAATGGACTGACAAACAGTTGCTGTAATCTCAGAAATCATCATAAAGTGATGGTATCAGAAGAGTCACAAGAAGGTGATTAATATTGATCACAGGGTAATGAAAAGGCAGATTTGGTCTTTCAGAAAAAGTTCTCTCAGGAGACAGAGGAAGTATTACTTTGTGTTCATAAGGCATTGTTGATATTTCTTCTGGAATTTTACATGTTTTTGATCACTTACATTCAGAAAGCTGAAAGATTAATATTACTGAAGACACTAAAAATGGACAGAAAAAAGAGCATAGTTTGGTTATCCAAAGTAGAAGAATGACCAGAGAGATAAACAACTGAGAACAGATCTTCAAACAAGGAAAATTGGTGGTTTGGGAACAGATGGATATGTACAATGATGAATAGGTTTAGGTTAGACATTTCCTGTTGTTGGAATCATGAAATTCAGACATGGGTTTTCAGCGGTAATGGAGAAGTCAAAGCCACTATATTGCTGTAAGATGGATTTTGATTTATGTACATAAATAAATATATAACATAATTATTGATGAAAGCATTTGGATTTAATAAGCCAGGAGTTTTCTTCAAACCGTAGCTATCTAGCCTGAAGTATGACCTAAATTTAGAAAAGCCTAGGTTTTAAAACTGTCTTTTGATGTCATCTTTAGTGCCAAACCTCCTCAATTGCTTCTGCAGCATTAAAGTAGGTTATTTCACCTGCAAATGAGATTCAAAATTCCTAAAAAATTGTCACTACTTGAAATGCTTATGAAGGACTTGAATGAATAAAAAATAGCACTGTTTCAGCATTAAAATTCAGAATCAAGTGACACTTCACACTTTATTCTGTTAATTTTAACAGAGTTATGTTGTTATCTTTAAATGCATAGAACAGAGAGTTTTACATATTCTACAGAAAAAAGTATGAGACATCTTAATCAGGTGTAGTAGTCTATGATAATCTATTGCTAATTTATTTTTGTTAATACATTGAAGTAATTAATGCTGTCATGGATTATCTACATACACTCCTCATGACAAAACTTATTGATACATCCACCATTCTTCTAAAATCTACTCATTGTGAATATGCTAAAACAACATTCCATTAGCAGATTTGCTAAATAAAATAATGTCAGCCAGAGAGTCTGCAGATTTCTCAGCTCTTAAAATATCTGATCAGGAGAACTGCACTCATGCATTTTGGCACTAGAGTTATAAATTATGCATAATAGAGCATAATATTAAAACATTAACATAACTTAACAATACCAACCTATTAGTTCCTTAGTGAAAGAAATAAAAAGTGTTGTATCTGAGTGTCTTGAGTTGATTCACCTAGTCTGTACATGTTTAAGATTTATAGTAGTAAAAATGGTTATTTAAAAGCCTTAGATCTTTACTAATATAACATTACTTTTTTTTCTTTAGCTGTGTAATTTTCTACATACCAGGCTTTGTCTTTTTTTTTTTTTTTTTTTTTTTCAACTGACATGCTAAGTAATACCCTTTTCTTAACCTGCAGAACAGTACAGTTAGCCAAGACTAGACAGCTTAAAGAGATAAATCTCTGGACCACATCTAATTTCACTCTGTTTCCAAAGTATTAAAATACATGTAGCAGTTATCTTTTAAGGATACTTCAACACATTTAGCTAATATTTAGCAGAAGAAAATGGATAATACTTTTCCTCATATGTGATGCTTGTCACACTAATAGCATTCCTAGTGTTTCTGAAATCTCAGATGAATGTTTCCCTATTTGAAGTGTCTAGCCAAGAATATGGAGGTTGGTGTGATCTTGTGGAATTTTTTTCAGACTTAGAAAGACAGATCTTGGATTGACACAGGGATTTCTGAATGTTTGTCTGATTTTTAATTTTTTATTTTGTTTTATTTTGTGCTATTGTCTCAGTCATAAGTTACAAATACACCACTGGAAAAGACTGTCCCATTGCACATATAGACATAGTAACTATGTGTAATATTCCTGTTACTGATGTCTAAGGGTTGTGTGACATGACTAAGGTATCATGGCCATAGGCAGAAAAACAGAGAAAGTGCTGTATCAAAAAAACCCCATGTTATTTTACCTCTGTTTCAAAGGTAATTAAACATACTTTACTCAAAAAATTCCCTGCTCCTCTACAATTGCTCCTAATGAAAGTGCTATGTGAGGAGGGTGTTGTGTTTCATTGTATGAAACACAATATATAATAGTGACAAAAAGTTCAAACCAGTATATTTCATCTGATTATATGAGACATGCCTTGTTTTCTCATGTCTGTCTGCTTTTTTTTTTTTTTTTTAGATGAAGGAGAACACAAACAGAAAGGCTAAACTTTCATAACAGCGTTAGGTTTTGACTCTTCTCTGACACACTCTACATAGGAAAAAAAAAGACAAAGAAGGCATCTATTCCTGCCTTATTTTCTCTAGAAGGAAGAAATAAAGAAAATCATAAACTTTGTACATCCAGCCTACCTGCTTACTATTAGTAATTCTGATTTTCTTAATCATCAAGGTTCATTCAGACACCAGGATCAGTTGTCCATGCTGAGAGCATGGATTTGAACTCAGCATCCACTATGGCATCATAAAGTAACCCTGGTGGGCTCTCAATCACCCAAATCCTCTCCGTGTCTATAAAAATAATTATGTGGGAATGTAAATAAATAGCATGAATATGCAGTTTAACAGTAAAGGTACCCTTGATAGAAGGTTATTTGGGGAAAATAAACCCAGTTTCTGTCCTTGCTCTAGAGTGCTTCAGTATTTTTCATTCAAGGTTGACTATATATTCAAGACTGATGAGAGAAAAATAAGGAGAATACTCTCATCAGCATGCAAGGGTCATATTCCTTTTTTTATTGTTTTTCCCAAGGTTCATGACTTTTGTATTCTCAAATAGAGGATGCAATAGATTTTGCAGAAGAGATCTAAGTTATAGTTCAGCAGATGAGTATGAATTTCCTCAGGCAAAAGAGGGCACTTAACACAATTTGTTGAACAAGTAGAGTAACTTCTTGTGTTACAAAATGTAGGCAGGAGTCACAACACAAGAGTCACAAGCTGCTCCCGTTTTAAAATTAAAGAAAAAACTACACATATCTACTAAAAAGAATACATTACAGCCTAACTAACTAAATTCAAGGGAGAGGTAGAATTTATAAAATACTCTTTCTTTGGACTTTTTGTGTCATCTGTTAGGTATGTCTTCTCTGCTATGGATGATGTCTTTTATGGATCAAATACATAGATGTTACTACATATAATAAATAATGGCCAGTCTTCGCGAGTGAAGATCCAGGGAAGGTCTTTACATCTTCCAGCCTGCTCACTGGATTTTTTTTTTTTAGGTGAGACAGTGTGCGCGGAACTGAGCCCACCCTTTAATCCTAATGTTCATCTGCCGGGGCCAAGCGAGCTTGGACGGTGGCAGTGAGGTCCTTAGGACGTAGATGGATTGCCTTTTTAAGGGCTAACGAGCCCCACCTGCCTGGGAGTGGCCCTGATCGGGAATCGAACCCGGGTCTCGGCGGTGACAGCGCCGCGCCCTTAACCACTAGACCACCAGGGGCTCCACTACATATGAAAGTGAGAAATAACTACCTTCACATGTGTATATAGTCCAGCTTCTAATAGGTGTACAAGGCGGGGGAAATAAATTCTTGCTACTACATTTGCTGAAGAAAGCCAAGATTGTTACCTGTTAGATAAGTACAATTAGATATGATGAGTGCCATCTTCATTGCACAGGGGATTCAGGTTCATATGTTTTTTGAATTTCATTTTCCAAAAGAGATAACCAGTATTGCGTTCCACACCATCAAACATGAGATTGTTGAGGATTTTGGCTTTAGAAAAAAAACAAACAACCCAACAAAATACAAAATCACAGGAAATTCTAAACTAAAAATATATAGCTTCATACCATAGGATCATAGAATGGTCCAGGTTGGAAGGAACCTTAATGATCATCTGCCATGAGCAGGGACACCTTCCACTATATCAGGTTGCTCAGAGCTCCATCCAACCTAGCCTTGAATTATACAGATACATATGTGCTGGTTTTTCCTGGGGTAGACTTAATTTTCTTCACAGTGGCTGATATGGGGCTGTGTTTTTGATTTGTGCTGAACACAGGGTTGATAATACAGAGATGTTTTTGTTATTGCTGAGTAGGACTTACAAAGAACCAAGGCCTTTCTTGCTGTTTTTGTACTGCCACACTATCAGGGAGGTTGGGGTTACATGAAAAGTTGTGGTGAGGCACAGTCAGTATCCAAACTGACCAAAGAGATATTCCAGACCATATGACATCATGCTCAGTGAATAAAGTGGGGGGGAAAAAGAGGAAGGGGAGGACATTTAGAATGATGACATTTGTCTTCCCAAGTAGCCATTATGCTCAATGGGGCCCTCCTGTCCTGGAGATAGGTGAACACCTGCCTGCTCATGGGAAGAAGTGAATTAATTCCTTGTTTTTCTCTCCTTGTGTGTGTACCTTTTGCTTTCCCTATTAAACAGTCTTTATCTGAAGCCATGAGTTTTCCAGCTTTTACCCTTCTGGTTCTCTCCCTGATCATGCTGGTAGGAAAGTGAGTGAGTGGCTGTGTGGGACTTGGTTACTGGATGGAGTTAAACACAACAATATACAATATATATATACCTTGAAATATTCAGGGGACAATTAAGTGCAGTAGAAATGATACTCAGGCTCACACTTTAAGCAATTCATAAAGCACTCTCAATTCTCTGCATATAACAAAGATTATGAGTTCCAGTAAATGGAAGAACATGGACATATATATAAGAACTATATCGTAGTCCAGGGTGAAATGAACCATGAACGTAGAGCCACTTCATTTAATTTTAGAATTTCCAATCTTCTGAATACTTCCTGTGCAGCTTAAATACACAAATAAATATATGCAGATAAATTCCTTAGGCATAGTAGGATAATGAAGTATTTTTTAGAACTTCACACCCAATTTTTTGTAAATACTTTCATTATTACACTTCTCTTTATGATGTTGAACTTTTCTGGTTAGAATGTGTGTGTGGGGTGAGGGTTTGTCGACAAATAAATGTGCCTTCAGAAAAAATTATGGACTGTTGAAATACTGTAAATGAAGCTTTAAAATAGATAAGTTAATGGGGAATAAATACAAGGAATTCCTATCTCTGAAGACAATTTTCTACCCATTTCTTCCTGCCCACTTTACATAAAAACTACATATAGTGGTATGACTATGCTATATTTCATTGTTCTGTCACAGTGTCTTTTCTTTCTTTAACTTCTAACTTAATGTTCCATTTCACATTTGACACACAAAACACACAAATAAAATCAGGGGAATAGATTTCTTTAAATTTCCAGTATTTCTGAACTAAATGTGTTAGCCTTAGCGACTTTCTAGTTGACAAATGTTGATCTAGCACTGACTTATAATCAGTACAGCCCATAAAGAGTAATAGAAGTCTTGACACTGAAATATACTGGCATAGAGACTTATCACTACCATTTTCTATATACCGGTAGTTTCCAGTATAACTTGACATATAACATTTGATAGAAATTTCAAACATAGCTAAGTGAATTGGAGAAAATAGTTGGGACTTTTGAATTGCAGTTTCTTATTTGTATCTCTTGCAGTCTGATTAAGCAATATCCAATTTGTTTGTTTGTTTGTTTGGTACCAATGCAAAGGTCTCTAAGTGTCCAGTCAGCTATGCTAAATTTACAATTATGGTCGTAAAAGAATTTCTAAAAATGAAGTCTAAAATCAGGTCATCTGGTTTTGAGAATTACCTTACCTGCCCAAGTATGAAAGTTTGGGTATTTACTGAGTAAAACTACTAGAGAAACTCTTTTAATATGTAGTCAGTGAGGATGCTGCGTATGCCACAGGCAGCATATTAAGAAAAAGTATTAAAATAAAAGAAGAGACTTATTTTGTATAACCTAAAGCTAAAGTGGCAATCAAAAACCAAGGGATTTTTGGAAAAGAGAAACTAAGAAATTGAAATTGCATGAAGGTTTCTGTTACAGCAATCTTCCTACAGGCTTCCTTACATGCTGAGGCGAAGTGTGTGCCATAGATGTGCTTGAGTTAGAGGGAGAGTTGAGTACATGTACGTGTGTTTAGAACTCTTTCAAATGCAATTTGCATATATAGGACAGGTTGTTATTACTGAAACAAGGTGTGCTCTCCTCCTACACATTCCCTCTTTAAGTATAACCTATGAATATTTATGTAGCATTGTGTTTTCCAAATTCATTTAGGAATATTAAAATTATTGAAGGGAGATAAAATACTTATTAGTTCTCTTTCATATCTAGAGTTCTACATTAGACAACAATGATTTAAAACCTTTCTTAAAACAATTGAAAATAAAACAATTTGTGCAACAGATGAATAAAATTAAGGCAGAGAAATACAGTAGAAGTGGAACTTAAGAAGGTAGATTAAAGATGCAGTTGTGTAAATGCTTGTACTGATTCACCTGGCATCAAAGTAACTCAATTTGTTGCATATTCAGTTGTTGCTCAGTGTTTTTATTGATTATTACTAGAGGACATTGGTGCATGTAACTTTATATCCTTTAACTAAAGGTATACAATTCCCCTTTGAGTTAGTTACAGAGTATCCTGTATCACCTGAATTACCCATTTCTGAGTAACTACTGAAGTAGTTCTAATAGCTTCCAAAATAAATACGAGAAACTACAGCTCATACAAACTAATCTGAAGCTTGGAATACATGAGTAATATGAGTAAGCTCATTCTCTGTCATCATTTAGCCATCCACCTTCAGTCCTTGAGTTGGGATAATATTATGTGGCTGGAAGAAAAGGAAGGATAGGTCATGGCAGTTTCTGCTCTTGTGACTGGAAGTTTTTGTCCTCTGGACATTTCCAGAGTATGGCTACATTTATTTCTGCTTCTAGAAGCAGCTTTAAGGGAATGCTGATAGCATTACCAAAGCATTATCCTTTCAGGCAAATTCATGGTTACAACCCTCCTGATTTGTGTCGGTGTCAGGGAAGGAGATGCTACACCAAAGCACACATTTGTTTTAGAAAAAAATATAAGTTGAATGCTTTTCTCAATTTCATTGATGTAAAGTTGTATTAAATCCTAACTAAATTCTTAAAATCCTAGTTAAAAAGTTCTCAAAAATTTCTTGTAGATCTAAGTTTACATACCAATACTAAAGATAAGACTTCGGGCAAATATTCCCTAAACCACATCCTGTAAATTGTTATATTTCTAAATGCATCAGTCCCTTGAAAAATGATTGATGACTTAAGTTGATTGAAATTGTTAGCAAATTGATCAGAAAGAGAAGTGGTTTTAATCTATGAAATGCAACAAAACAAAATAAATATTTTCCATAAAAATTAAGTATTTTGAAAATTACTTTTGTGTGTCAAAAATATTACTGGAATAATTTCTTTTCTCCATTTATCTCTCTGTTCCCAAGTCAAACCATCTCAATGAAAGAGCAAAGGCAGAAACATGCTTTGAGCCTTCCAAAATAATGAACAATTTAAAAACTCTTTAGCAATTTATTAACTTAGCTGGTTTTCTGTTTGGTTACATTTTGTTTGTGGATTTTTTTTTTTTTTTCTGTGTGTGTTTATAGGTTTCCTTGTATGTTTTGGTTGGGGTTCTGTGGTTTGTTTGTTTGTTTGTTTAACATTTAGTTTCAGATCTGGGTCCAATGTATTCTTCTTCTGGAATTTTTAAAATCTTTCTCCTCACCTGAACCTTTAAAAACTATATTTATTTATTTTTATGCTAAAAATATCAGCACCTGTCACAACATATTAGTAATTATACTTTAGGAAATCCTGAAAGATCACAAAACTTCAAACTTAGTATGCTGCACAAAAAGTAATATTTTAAGATAAATAGAATTATGCATTTCTCCAAAGTTTATTCACCATTTAAAAATGACATCTATTTTTTTTTTTTTTCATTTTTACTACTGTCCTAGATTACACAAAAATTTTGGTATGCACCTTTTTTTTTTTTTTTTCCCAAACTTGCCTACTAATTTGGACCCTGAAGGGAACTTGTGATAAGATAAGGGTGGTGCTACGATCCTAGAAGAATGTATCCACTTAAATGCTGATGACATAGTCAATCCAGGTGCAAGGTGATGATTTGCAAAGTAACCACCGAGGTTACTGGTGTGCTGTGGGCATGCACACCTGTCACCTCGGGATACAAGCTGGGTGTTGTTTCTTTGTTCTTACACCACTCAGCCTTGATAATTCCCCTCTAGGGAAGCACGCATAGACCTGAAGATACTTATGGGCCATAATGGATCCACCTCTGCTGATGTAACAGGCAGCTGTAACATTTTAGAAGGCGTCAGACTCCTGAAATGTCCGTGATCCAGCAGTACATCATCCAGTGTAGGACTCCCCACCGTTTACCTAGGGCATTCCCACCCAACC